ACTGCTTTATATTTCTCTAATGAAATGAAGTTTTAGTGTTTCATTAGCATCATATAAACATGTGTGCTACAAGTTAACCCTTTGATATAAAAACATTGCAGACCAAAGCCCAGTTTCATTTTTTCCAAGTTATAATATGAATACATATGAAGACATCTTTTTACATTGCAGATGAGGCAAATGCAAAGGATGCAGTGTGAGTGGTACTTGTAGCATCTTTACTATGTACAATCTTGCTCTCTAGTAAATGTTATTCCTTTACCTTCATCATAGAATGGGGCCACGGTGGTTCTGACTGGGATATTTCTTGTGTTTGTCCTCAATTTCTAATAACTGTGTAGAAATAGGGAGAGACATGTTTACTTAAAACTAGATTTCTTGCTTTGATGACTTAGTCACTTGATCTTTTTTTTTTTTTTTTTTGCATGTAAGATAAAATGTTGATTCTATCATTACACAATTTGATACTTTAATATTCAACAGCAAACTTTAAAAAACTTAATTTTTAAATTCAAGGTCTATATAGTCACATGTGATTTGATTTTGTTTAAATGGTTTTAGAACCAGAACATTGGTTTTGTACATCTGATCCATGCTTAGAAACTTTAGATTTAGAAAGTAGTTGCTCCATGTGGTTTTTAAGCCAATTAAAGGTGTTGGGTTTTCCAGGCCAGAATCGCACACAGTAGGAGCCACTATGAAAAGCATGAGCTGAATGCCTCATTTTGCAGCTTGGCCAATATTGCTGCAGGAAAATATTATAAGGTTCTTTACCTTGATAATGTTTTTGATCTCATCAAATTTGTTTCGCTTTAAAAAAAAAAAAAAGAAAATGAGAAAAATTAAAGGTAAATCAAGAAAGAACATACTGTGAAGTTGAAAATAAATTGTATTTTGAACTTTCCTTTTATTTTTGGAATTATCATCTGAACTAATTGCAAACCATGTTTTCTTACATAATCCTTTCTCATTATGCTTTTGAAAGGACTGTGAAGGGATCATTCATGCATTCTTGATTCCATCCAGGATTGAAATAGACACCCACCTCTTACATAGAAATATTGACTAATCAGATTGTCTCTGTTACAACATGACTGTAGTGCATCAAGATGGAATTAGAAACTGCTATCAATAGACTGTTTTGACCACTTTCCCCTTGAAGCCATTTATCTAAGGTCTAATAGCTGCCATCTTCATTTCTGAAATTTTATCTTGCTCTCCCCCCCCCCCCCCCCCCCACTGAGGTGTTTGACATGGAAATAACCAAAATGTTTTAAATGCTTAACTGTGTGTAACTGTTCTAAATACTTCATCTATTTACTCATTTATTTACCTCTCATAATAACTTGAAGAGCCCTGGCCGGTTTGGCTCAGTGGATAGAGCGTTGGCCTGTGAACTGAAGGGTCTCGGGTTTGATTCAGGTCAAGGGATGTTCCTTGGTGGCGGGCACAATGCCGGTGGGGGGTGTGCAGGAGGAAGTTGATGTTTATCTCTCATCAATGTTTCTGATTCTCTATCCCTCTCCCTTCCTCTCTATAAAAAAATCAATAAAATATATTAAAAAAAATAATTTCTGTTCCCTGAACAGATGAGGACACCAAAGTACAGACAGGTTATGACACTTGCCCACAGTCTTGCCACTGTTTGGTAGAAGCAGGAAGCTAACCGGGATAATCTGCCACCAGAGCTCATACTCTCAATCCCTTGCCCATATTGACAAGGATCGCTCACAGTGTGGGCTGCTGTGTTCTTGTTTGGGGACGTAATTACTATAGAGGATTCTCGGATATTTTGAGATCTCTGTGAAAGGACAAAGCAGCTTGCTTTTCTTGGTCAAGGAACAAGGCTTGGGAAGCTAAGAACAGTCTAGGAAGAAATGGGCAGTCATTGGGGTTTGTTAGTTAAGAGTTCCCTAGGACAAAGCTTAAAGGGGAACTCAGAGAGCCTGTGTAGGGAGGAGAGAGAAGAAGGACATCTGCTACTGGGTTCCTAAGCATCCTGATCTACTCATGTGACTCCCTCCCCCTTCTCAAGGCTGCTGTGTAGGAATTCCATCTCTGACTTCAATCCAGTTTAGCATAAGGCCTTTGTGTTGTACATAGAAACATAGAGGGATATTATATAGAACTAGAGGCCTGATGCACGGAATTTGTGAAAGGGGCTCAGCCCTCACAGCTCCAGCTTTGTCTGGAAGGTCGTCTGGCTCTCTGGTGTAATTAGCATATTATGCTTTTATTTATAGATGCTTTTTCCAAGTCTTGGGAGAGTGCCCACATACAGCTTGGCTTACAGTTATCCTACAAGTCTGCTTTCTTTCTTTGTCTTCTCATAATGTCTGATACAGGTGTTATGACTTCTCTACCCTTAGCCAGAGGTGTGCGCTGTCAGATAAATGCATGTGTTTGCACAGTGCCCTTCTCTCTGGAAGGCCAGTTAGCATTTCCATTCTCATGGGCTGGATTTGAATGATCATAAAGGTTAGCACTCTGGACTCTGAATGATCATAATGGAAGCCATTTGCTGAGTTGCCTCATGAGTACCAGGCACATCCTCATTTAGTCTTTATAACAACCCCCTGGGCTAAGTATTAGTTCCCTGTAGTATAGATAAGAAAAATGGGTCTCAGGAAGGATGACTGATTGTCCCAGGCTTCAGGGCTAATTGGTGAAGTCTAGTTCTGATGAGGCCTTTGTTTTTCTCTTTGACTGATAATTCACTTAGGAGACTCTCTCTTCATCGTTCATCCTGACAGTAGAAAGCAGAGCCATTCTTAGGTTGATAGACTTTTCTAATCTCTTACATTGAAAGTACCTCTCAAGTAGAATGTGAGTGGGTCCCAAAATTTGACCCTTTTTGTGGAAAGAGGTGTTAACCTGCAAGTAGCATCCTTTTTCCACAGCATGATTTAGTTCCTCAAACAAACAAGATTTAGAAAATAAAAACAAAGACCCCCAGTCTCTTGTGTGTGTGATTATATTTGTTGTTGTCGTTTTATAAAAGTCCCTCTGGACTCGAGGCCCCTGTCTTCAGAATTGTTCGTGGTGTGAGGGTGTGGGTGAGTAGTTGGATCACATTGGCGCCGAAAGTGACCTTCCTATTTGGAGACCTATTTGTGTGTGAGTGCTGCTTACTTTGATAGGTCCTTAGGCTCGGAGTTTCATGAATGGTGATTACCATAGTAAGTCATGGGGCTATGTGTAGGCATAGGGCCATAATTGTTCTCTTAAAGAAAAAAAATCTGACACTTGTTGAAAGAGTAAGGAAGACTTTATTCAGGACTGTTGTTACAGATACCAAGTGTCACAGTAGGGGAGAGAGAACAGGTTCAACTCTTCAACTCGAGCAGGTTGGGGGGGAGGGGAGGAGGGCGTGTTGTGGGTGGAAAATTACTAAGAGAAGGTATCAAGGACAGGAGGATTCCTGGTGAAGGCAGGCCAAGAACTTATTCATCAAAGGTGGGAGATGAGGAATTTGATCAGATATCAGCTATCCAGGCTGCGGGTTCTCTCTAAATTGACTTGGCAAGATTCTTGTTAAGATGGGGGCCCAGCAAAGAAGGGGAGCCAAGATAGAGGCCTCGTCAAGAAGAGGGCTCAGCCAAAACCGGTTTGGCTCAGTGGATAGAATGTCAGTCTGTGGACTAAAAGGTCCCAGGTTTGATTCCTGTCAAGGGCATGTTCATTGGTGGCTGGCACATTCCCCGAAAGGGGTATGCAGGAGGCAGCTGGTCCATGTTTCTCTCTCATTGATATTTCTAGCTCTCTATCCCTCTCCCTTCCTCTCTGTAAAAATCAATAAAATATATTAAAAAAGAAGAAGAAGAAGAAGAAGAAGAAGAAGAAGAAGAAGAAGAAGAAGAAGAAGAAGAAGAAGAAGAAGAAGAAGAGGGCTCAGAGGAGACTGTGACGATTGGGCAGAGAGAGAGTCTTTGTCAGGCCACAGAGATGAATTAAATATGAGGGTTTGGGTATTGGACTCGAACCATTCAATGACATTCTGATAAATGTCTTCTCTCAGTTGCAAACTTCAGCTACCTGTCAGGCTTCTGCGATGCTGCCCTGCCAGATTGATTTATTTTAAATTTTATTTAACAAACTTAAACAGTGCTTAAGTGCCAGGCTCTGTTCTAAACCTTTTGCAAATATTAGCTTAATCCTTAAAACAACTCTATGAGGTGGCTGAACCTTTGCCATTCACTTTTTACAGATGAGAAGCAGGCCCACAGGAGTTAAGTAACTTGTCCAAGGTCATGTCAGTGGTGGGACTTGGATTTCAACCCAGGCAGCCTGGCTCCAGAGGCTGCGTTCCTATTCGGTCTGTTAGGTTGCATTCCAGGCTTTTCCTCCGAGGGATTTACTTCTCATTATTCTGGACTTTTCTTTATTCTCTTCAGGAATAAAGAGTAATTCCTCTTCTGGAGATAGCCACACTCTGGACTCTGTTCAGCTTGAAGTCAGATTGAAGAGTGTGTGTAGTTGGAGGTCTCCTGTAAATCACAAGATTATTTGTAAACAACCTTTCGGGTGACCTTTCACCTTAGAAGAAGATCAAATCCAGTAGTTCATTGGTAAAAATATATTCCCTACCTGCTTCCCAGTCTGTTTAGAATAACATCAATGACCCTATCGAATCAAAGGTCGGCTGCCCCCCTCCCTTTTTTTTCTTCCCATCAGCAACCTCAGTAGCATTCTTTACTTTTTAAAATAAATGCTCCATTTATAGGGAATGGATGATAATTCTTTAATAAAGTCTTTGGGAAATTGGCCTCTAAATAATACATGACTGGCACCAAAACTTTCTTAAAGGGGCAGATCTCCTTTGAGCAGAGCAGATCCAGTTCCTAAGATATTTCTTTAGTAGTGTCTTTAAATTCTGCTTGCATTTGTCAAGCTGGTATTTTAAAAGGCTCTGGTTAATATAGTATTAACATCAAAGTTCTATGTGGAAAATAGTATTCCATGGTACCTTCAACTTATGACTTTTAAACTTTTAATTACAGATCTGTCTATGGCAGTACAGAAATTTTCCCAGTCACTGCAAGACTTCCAGTTTGAATGTATTGGTGATGCTGAAACAGATGATGAAATTAGTATTGGTGAGTACTACTGTTCTTCAATATCCTAAGTAATAATTATTCTGAGTTTTTGTTTCATTTTATTGTTGACAGTATTATAGATGTCCCCCAATTCTCTCCTCCCTGACACTGTGTCCCCCTCCTTCTAGCCCCTGCTCCACCCCAGGCTTTCACCACACTATTGTCTGTGTCCATTGGTTATGCATATATGTATATGTGTTCTTTGGTTAATTTCTTCCCTAATCTCCTCCCCTCAACTCCCTCTCCCGACTCCTTTTTATTTCCTAAATAATAATTATAAAAGCCCTACTTACGATACTGATTTATTGAAACCAAACAGATTCACACACCCAGATATTAAACATGTAAGACATTCTGACTTTGATAAAGGTAAAAGACAATTTTGGGGGACCCTTATCAATTAGTATATGCGAGATATTCAAGGCCAATCTGAGCGTGGGAATCCTAATCAGGATGTTGAAGGCCAAGTTGCCATAGGCAGGTGCTAGGACTAGATACACTGAGCAAGGATGCCCTTCTGTAACCCAAAACTGATGTCACTATTTGGCAAAAAGCCTGTTTTGCCTAAGTTCGTATAAAGTGTGTTACTGGCCAGCCAGTGGGAGGCTGCTGTTATGTGAGTCTGTTTTACTAGGAGGGCTGCTGTGTTAGCAGTCCTTGCTTTCTTCTGGACTGCTTTGTCCAATGGCTCCTTGGACTGCAATAAAGACTCTCTTCTACGCCTACGACGTCTTATGTCTTCTCCGTCTGATACCTGGTGTCCAAGGAGGTCCAGTTCCTGGCAGGGGAACTGAGGCCTAGCAGTTGGCTTGGTGGAGCAGGGTTCAGGGAGTGAGAATTCCAACAATTGGTGCAGCGTACAGGGTCAAGGAGAAACTTACTCCCCATCAGTATCAGACATTGTTTTAAAACTGAGCTCTGTGGTTTCTTCCATAAGGAAATTACTTAAGTCATTCTATGATTCAGCTCTGCCCTTTGAGACGATGTGGATAACAATGCTCGTCTCTGCCTCAAAGTCAATCATTCATTCAAACGAATACATCTTGGGTGACTCTTATTAAATAGACAGGGTACTGGTTTAAAGATTTCTTTTTTTAACTTAATACAGATTTCTCTTTTATTATGAGAATATAGGGGAAAGAATCAGTCATGATGTATTACACCAGTATTATTACAGGACACAGGACATTACTGAAGATCAGGTGACTTGAACCCTAATCCAACTTTGCCACAGTAATGTAGCAATCTGATCCTGGGGAAAGCATGCCCCTTCCTGAGTCACATGGTTTCATTTCCCACAGAGTGAATAGGTTGGGTAATGTGATCTCTGAATTTTTTTCTGTATCGGAGTTTACTGTTTGGAGATCAGATTCAAATAGCATTCTTTCTCCCACATTTTAACAATCCCTCCTTGTCAGTGTGTAGACGAGGGGTCCATTTGTAGGCTAGATTAGAGACATGGCCACATAGAAGACTGGATAAAATGTGTGTACATTTTAGAGAATAATACTAGGTGTACTCATCTTCCAGGTATAAAAATAGAATATTTCATGTATAATACCTAGAACAGTGACTTACAAGTTTTTATGTGTGTATAAAACAGAGGAGATCTTATTAAACGCAGATTCTGATTCAAAAGGTCCCAGGTTGGGTTCAGGCTCTGCATTTCCATCAGACTTGAAAGTGAGGCGGACGCCGCTGGTGCATGGACCACACGTTGAGTAGCAGAGATTTATGATCCCTGACATGCCTTTCCACAGTCACATTCCTCTCTTTCCTCTGCTGTGTCTTCTGTAGTTTTCCCAGTTACATGCATTTTAAAATAATATGTCTTTATTATGTTTTAAACCTAAGTAGCAAGTCCCAGCCTAGCTGTATAAGAACAGGGCAATGTCATGTCCACGGAAGAAAGGCTTTCCGGAGATCAGCTGATGGAATGTGATTCATTGTGTGACTTTAGCTGCTTACATTCAGGAGAGTTTCTCTTGGAGAAGTCACTGGGCAGAGTGCAGAGTCCACAGACAAGCCCTCTCTACACGTGGGGCTTGCATCATACATACATTGTCACGGTCACGCTGGCAGTCTTTCAGAGGAGCTGTGCCAGGCACTCACTTTCTTAGCTGAGTGTTAGTGACTCTGAGGGGGCGTGGAGGTGGCTGGGCCTTTGGTATCAGAGATGGCTTCTTCTGCTGTCAGATCTCTAAGGAGAGGTGCTGAGCCATGCCTGCTCCTGGCTGAGGGGTTCTCAGGAGCCTCTAGGAAGAAGGGAGAGGATCGACAGGGAAAGGACATCAGTGATCATACACCACTGACATTTGGAGCAAGAGTTGCCATTTCTTGTGCCACTTCTTGACACTTGTCCTAAATATCTATCCTCCAATGCAGGTGTTGTGACATACACCTAACCAGAAAAAAAGCCTAAAGTATATTACGAAAATATTAACATACTAGCATTATGATGTAGAAAAAAAGAAAGAATACCCCTATGCTCACATAACTACAATTACTTTGACTTAGAAATGACACCTATAAATAAATTCCAAGAAGGCAGAGAGTTCAGATCTCTTTTATTTTTAAAGATAGAACAAAAAAACATTTTAGATTTAGCTCCTGACCTAGGGCCTAACTCATAGTAGCCCCTCTGTTAAATTGTTTAATAAATGACAATTTTCCTTATAAAACTTATTTTTTTTCACTTATGTGTATGCTTTTTAATAGCGATAGGTATATATATGTATATATATAAATTTGGTTTTTTCTTTATAAAGAGGATTATAGTAATTACTTCTGAGTTTTTGTAGATATGATTTTTTAAAAATATATTTTATTGATTTTTTACAGAGAGGAAGGGAGAGGGACAGAGAGCTAGAAATGTCGGTGAGAGAGAAACATCGACCAGCTGCCTCTTGCACACTCCCTACCGGGGATGTGCCTGCAACCAATGTATATGCCCTTGACCGGAATCCAACCTGGGACCTTTTAGTCCGCAGACCGACGATTGTAGATATGATTTTTAATAATTTCGTTGCTTTAAGATATTCCACCAGATTCATATACTTGAATTTATGAAGTCTCTAGAGTACATTCATGCTGACTCTAGTTGATCTTTTACTGGTTATTAGCAGTATAGTAAACATTTCTCTTATTTTTCATGGTGCTTCTTACTGAAAACACCATCTTGAAGGCACACTAATGACTGCAGAGGCAGGTTTTTTTTCACTATGCCATGTGATCTTCCTGGCAGATGTCTAGTGATTTCCTCAGGTTGTGTTGGATTTGATATCTCCACATTCGTCTGTCTCTTTCCACTTTGGCTATTGGATGTTGTTGTAGCTCTTGACAATTAGATTGAAGGGTGGGAATCGATCAGTAAAGAAAGGCTTATGATATGCAACGAATATTAAATTTAATGCTAATGCTTAGAGGGCTTTAAGGAGTTCACCCAAGGTGAATACTATATCGGAGTAGGTGTGATATTGTTTGCTACTTTTATATCAGGAGACGTTTTTAGTTCCTATTGCAGAGAATCTGACTTAAACACCAATGTTTTGTTAGGAAAACCAAACTTAGGATAAAAATATTTATAAACATACATTATTTCTGAAACAAGGAATATAAAAATGTAGCTATGTTCCCATGTCCTCTCCATCTAACACTTTTTATCCTTTTACTGAGCCCCAAGTGCAGTCTGAACAGTTAAGAAAAAAAGTAACTATGTACAGAATAAAGAAATAGTAGACTTTCAGGAATTATCCCTAACACGAGGCTTATGTACCAAGGACAGGCATCCAGGAATGCATCGCTGGGACTAATGGGGGCTGGCGTGGTTGGAGTGCAAGAACCGTTCCATCCTCACCCCTCTTATCATGCTCAGTTCTACGTGGGAAAAGACAGAGCACCAGTTGTCTGAAACATAGCTTGTTGAAGCCCCGGTTTCAGCTTCTTTATTCCTCTGATTTAATAAAAGAGGAATGAAGTAGGGACAGCTGCGACTCTTAGCTTTTTGTAATAGCCACGGCCCTCCCCGCCAGAGTCTTGAGACTTAACCAAGGACGTGACCACTAAATGTGATGACTTACCAGAAATGCTCGTTTTTGTAAGTGAGCAGTATCTGTAGCAAAATCACTCATAAAATCAAGACGTTTGCAGACTTTCTGTAAGTTATGATGGTGGGAATAGATGGGAGGGCATTGGAAGGTGAGTAAGATGTCTGCTTTCCATGTGCTTACAGTGGAATAGGGTGGGAAACAGGTTTTGAACAAAGTCAGGGAAAGAAGGTGCTGTTTCTATGTCAGGATCATTACCCAATTAGTGGAAGCTGTTCCAGGACATTTTTGTAGACTGGCAGGCCTGTGTCTGGCCTGGAAATTGCCCCCACTCTTCCGCTGCCCCCTCCTGCTCCCACCTCTCTGGCCTGTGCTTGCTGGCTTTTCGGTTTGTTTGTTTTGGTATCAGTGAGACGGTGTTGGCATGGAAGGAAGCAAAATGGGAATCGTGGTCTGGGACGCAGTGGGGAATTCCTGTGGCTCAGAGAGCAGGTTAGTTGTTTCCAGGATTAAAGTCCCAAGCAGGGCAGCATCGCACACTCTCCTTTTAGCATCTTCCTTTCCATTCAAGAGCAGCCAGAGGTCATGGATCCTCCCTTTTCTAAGGATGAACGAGCTGCAGGTGAGCTTTTGATGGCGCCCTTTTATCTGCCCACCGCAGAGCTGGCCTGGTGGGAAGCAGCGTATTGAGTCCATCCAACTTCACTTCCCACGGCTCTAACGGCCCACTTTCTGTACTGCTTTAGTGTTTTGAACTCAGTAAAGACACTTAGATCAGGAGTAAGTCAGGAGTTGAGCAGCTGGACACTTGGGGCTAGGAAATTTGTGGTGAAGGGGAGGGGAGGGATTATAAAGAAGTAAAGATTCAGTCCTCCTCAAATAATGATATGGATAGACTAGATACAAAATGTATCATAGTTTAACTATGGTTGCACAGTAATATGTATGTAAATG